ACCGTGTCCGAGGTATGTTTCGACCGTGCTCGAGGTGTGTTTCGACCCCTCGAACGTGTTCGAGGTATATTTCGACCGTTCTCGACCGTGTTCGAGGTATTTTTCGACCGTTCTCGACCGTGTTTGAGGTATGCTTAGACCGTGCTTGACCGTGCTCGAGGTATGTTTGGACCGTTATCGACCGTATTCGATGTATTTTTGGACCGTGCTGGACCATGTTCGAGGTATGTTCAGACCGTTCTCGACCGTGTTTGAGGTATGTTTCGACCATGCTCGACCGTGCTCGAGTTATGTTTTGACCGTTCTCCACCGTGCTCGAGGTATGTTTTGACCGTTATCGACCGTGTTCGAGGTATGTTTGGACCGTTATCGACCGTTCTCGACCGTGTTTGAGGTATGTTTCGACCGTTCTCGACCGTGTTTGAGGTATGTTTCGACCATGCTCGACCGTGCTCGAGGTATGTTTTGACCGTTCTCGACCGTGCTCGAGGTATGTTTTGACCGTTATCGACCGTGTTCGAGGTATGTTTGGACCGTTATCGACCGTATTCGATGTATTTTTGGACCGTGCTCGACCATGTTCGAGGTATGTTCCGACCGTTCTCGACCGTGTTTGAGGTATGTTTCGACCGTGCTCGAGGTATGTTTCGACCCTTCTCGACCGTGTGTCGAGGTATGTTTCGACCGTGTTCGAGGTGTGTTTCGACCGTTCTCGAGCGTGTTCGAGGTATTTTTCGACCGTGCTCGACCGTGCTCGAGGTATGTTTTGACCGTTCTCGAGCGTAATCGAGGTATGTTTCGACCGTGCTCGACCGTGCTCGAGGTATGTTTCGAGAGATTTCGACCGTGTTCGAGGTATGTTTCGACCGTTCTCGACCGTGTTCGAGATATGTTTCGACCGTGCTTGAGTTATGTTTTGACAGTTCTTTAAGTATATCTCGACCGTGCGCGACCTAAAGCCCTGTATCGACTATTCTTTTTCGGTCGACTACTGACATGCGCTGGACTTTGAAAATCGAAACATAAAGTGATCAACTCGATCCGTGAAATGATCAATGATCAATCATGTTTATTCATAAAGATTACGGCAAACAGCAAGGCCTGGGGCCGTAGGTTTTTTTGAAATAACAGTTGAAGTGTTATCCAATTATCTGTCAAGAAAAACGATCAAGACGGAGCTGGAATTGATTACAAATTGGATAGTAAAAAATTGAGCTATTCGTAATACGTTGGGGCAATCAAACACTAATACACTAATGCGCTTTTCGAAACTGTCAAATTTAGGTTGTCAAATGAAGAATTTTAGATCTTGGAATGCTAACAAATGTGTCGTGGCTGAATTTGTCGAAAAGTCTACGAAGTGAGGGTATCTGGCTTTTCCAGTCCAAAACAGACTTACGCCATAGGACACTCAAAAGTGGCAGCAAGAGAAGAAGGAATGCAAAACGGGACCAGAAAACTAATCAAATTAGGAGAACAATGATAAGTGGGAAAAATTATGCTGAAAAAATCTTCAAAGAGAGCATTAAGTTCAGCATCCTATTGAGCAAAAAGTCGCAAGAACACTTAGAGATTGAAGCTTAGCATGCCGGCTCAGATAGATCAAGGCCATCGGGTTTAAGCAAAGAAAAGCTAGAGCTGCGCGGGATCATCCGCTTATTTGTGGATAACAAAGTCCCGGTGGTAACGTTAACACAGGGAGCAAGAATTTATTAGAATATGGAAAATTATTGATCAGACTTTTCGAAAAGTTTTCATTCTGACATTTAAAAAAGTTAACTGCAGATCTTCCTGGTGCCACAAAATTGTTGAGTTCAAGCAATTTGTGCTTCTTTTATTAAATTATTCCTGCTGGGGCCATGAGGGCGGTTAAAAGGAATATGATTTGTAACTTCAGATTTTTTTTGCTGGAAAGGCTCTAAATTACTACAAAGTATGTAATTAATTTATTTTATCATAACTTAGTAGTTTAAAATTGATGGTGACGCAGTAAGCGCTTAATTAGGAGAATTCGTGTTCACCTACTTATACAAATAGTGCTATAGTGTTATTTAAAACAGTATGGCTATAGTGCTTAATTTTCAATTCAAATTTTAAAAATTTTGTTTTGTTTTGTGCTGGGAAGGTATTTGTTTTAGAGAGTATCCAAAAACGGGTTGCACATTAAAAACATTTTAAAAAAAGAGGTTACAAATTAAAAATAGATAGGGAACTAAAGGTTTTGATTCTAATAATCTGAATAATATTTAAAATTATTATTATGCTCTGTTTGCTTAATATCAAACTTAATATAATTTGAAAAACTCGTGGCATCAAGCTGAAACAAAAAGCTGATTAAGTTGTTTATATCGACTCAACACAAAACGATTTGCAGAACTTTCAATGTCAATGTTAAACTCTTAAACTCAGTTTGAACAGTTTTAGCGGTTTTCGTATTACGCTTAATTAGCTGAAGAAAAAAAGAGCCTCTCAAAAAGCTCCTTTCAGAACAAAATTTGAGCCTAACTTCTCCGCATGTCCTCTTGATCTGTGAAATCTATGCGTTTTTCTGTTCTATTATCGTGCAGGTTGGGGAAACGAGGTGATAAAATGTGTGCAAATATTGCAACCCGTTTGTAGTTTCATTTTTCAACTTGTCTCTAGCTTTATGATTGATTACGTAAAATTTCTTAGTGAAAAGTCAAGTTTCACCATAACTAACACCAAAATCTTAGATGCTCGAAGAAAGTCAGTCCCTTAATAACTTCGCATTTTCCGGTAATCCTATAGATCTTTTGAGACCAGGGAATTAGGAGCAGGACTTAGACCAGTATCAATCTAAAAGACTGTACGAACCTATCCGACCTAAAATAGATAGCGTGATGAACACGCGATGTATTTTATCTGAAACTACTCTTCATGATAGCTCTACTGCTATCTCAAATTGGAACTATTCTATATAGCGAGTGATTTCGTTTCATTCGATCACACTTTATCTATTGACACCCTCAGGTTTAGGCTTGGACCAGATCCCGGTTAAAAACTTTTGCTGAAAAATATCCATGAAAGGAGGCTGAATGAGCCCAGTTCTTAGTACGATTGGCCACCTATTAATCTTGGAAAAAATGAACCCATTGGCGCCCAATCAGGATCTCAATATTTAGAAATTGGGCACAATTATCCCCTTCCATGGCAATCAAAGATCAAAAACTCAACTAATTCAGCACCTTTTACTAAAATTTTTTTTTCCTTGAGTACGCAAGACCTTTACACCACCCTTGTTCTACCAGGGTTTGAAGTTGCTGTTTGTTTTGGTCTATTTATACTAAAATTAGGATACTGAATGAGCCCAATTTGCTAAATTAATTAGGCTCATTCAGCTCTTCTTCTTGCTAAGAGTTGGGTTCATTCAGCCCCTTTTTGCTAAAATTTGACTTCATTTAGCCCTTTTTTAACAATTGGGCTCATTCAGTCCCATAATGGAAAATCGAGGACCAAAAATTGGGCTTATTTTGCAAAAATTGGGGCCAATCAGCTTTTTTTGCTAAAAATTTGGCTCATTTTTTTGCTTAAAAAAATGGGCTCAACCGGCAACCCGTTGAAAACTAAACAGACCACAATGGGATCCAGTTTCGGCCCGTGTTGGATGCGTAATGTGTCCGCCGTGCTATGCTATTATGAATACCATTGCGGAATTGAGAGTTAAACCTCAGCAGAATTCAAATTAGCTATTGGTTTATAAATATGTTGTTCATTAATGAATTATTCAGCAAATCATTTTTGTATAGTTGGACATTCGACAGAGCGCTCGGTTTTAAAGATAAGTTTGAAAAAATATATATCGCTTGAAATAGCGAGTAAGTCAACTGCATTTTAAACGAATATGCTGAGGTTCTTAGACTGGATATTTAGCAAACATTACGAGACTAAACTGTTCATTGGACAAGCGCACTTTTCAGTGGGTGCATAATAATGGAATCCAGACACAATCTTAGGGCCTTTTTACTTATTTCGACCAAAAATCAATATTTCAACATCTTGAACTGAAATTATTTTGCTTCAATCTGATTGGTGGCCAGTCAATAAGCAGAATGGTCAAAGAGCCGAATGGGTCCAAGAGCAGATAAACAGACAAATATCAACTTTAATGAGCTGATTGGTAAATGAACTATAATAATTATTTTTATTACCACAGAAACTATTATTTTAAGCATAATTTGACTAATTTAAACTACATTTTAAAAAAAATTCAATTAAAAAACACATTTATTCATTTTCTTGTTATTACTGACGATTCTGATAATTGTTTTTACCAATTTGTCCGTTGTTTATCAGTAAGAATTAATATGATTCAGTTTTTCAGCTCTTGGACAAATTTCTGCTCTTAGACCATTCTACTTATTGCTTCGCCTCCAATCTGATAGGCTAAAATTAGCCAATCAAATTTCAGCGCCGTTTTAAACTTGCTCACAATTTTATGTCGACTTATAATTAGGCCGAATTGGCCAAAAATATAGAAGAAAGGAGAGACCAAAAAAACTGCTCAAAGAAAATGTTGACCATTTTCATATCTGCTCACAATTCGGCCTCGTTAGAACTCGGCTAAAGTGGTCACAATAGTACTAAACAAACCAATCAGTGCGATCAGTATCTTGTTCTCTGCATTGAACACATTGAAAAATACAAAACCGCAAAATTAAGAAATTTGGGCGGAATAAGTGAAAATCCCCAATATTAAAACATGCTCAAAAATTAAATAGATTCCACTTTTAAAATTTTCATGGATTCCGCGCACAAATATTTGTAAGTTAAAGTTTATCACTAGATTTATTGCGGATTGCAGCGAATATAGCTAGCTGTTTTATGGTTTCCGCAAATGGAAGTGAATTCTGCAAACTGTAAGCGGGTTCCGCAGATGTCAGCGGATTCTGCAAATGTTTCAGCCTCTTGCGGAATCCGCTCACAATTCACAAACTATACCAGTTGGCCTCGTAATGAACTATTTAGCTAAAAAGAAGAGGGACTCCTTCAAGTTTATTGAAACTTTGCAATTGATACAAAAACTTACTATCATATAACCTTTTTAGTATTAAATTATATGATATCGACTACTCAAAATAAGCTAAATTGTGGATTCGAAATAGAAAAACTGCTCCCGCGTTAGTGATCGAGTTTTCTTGTTGTCCCTCAAAATGATTACTAGATGCATGTTTCAAGTTTGGATTGTTCATTGTTTCGTCTTTTTGACTTTTTAGGCCAAACGAAGGTACCTGCTCATGATAGTCCATTCGTCCAAGGATATAACTCCGTCATCTAAACAGATGAGCTGATGATTAGGGAACAAAAGTCGATTAGCAGAAAAGTTACAAAAGCTGCCTAAAAAGCAGCTAAACTTGTTCTAAAAGCATTTGAAAAAGTTATTTCAAATCGTATGCTTTTTTTGCTGAGTTAAGTCAAAAAAGTTTTAACTTGAGATCTACAGTTTTAAGATCAAATAAACAACAGTCCCAATCCCCCAGCCTAGTGGTGGATTTAGGGGAAGGCGGGCACTCCATCCCTGCTCAGAGATTCGACTTTCAGAAAGTTGTGCCAAATATGTTTATTCTTGGGCTTCGACAGAAATCGAAAACTTCGAAATTGAAAACCTGGAAAAGATCATCAAAAATTTCCAAAGCCAAAACCATATGCCAAGTGGTTAGATTCAGAACAAAATATTACACTGGTTAGATTTACAACAAATATGCTCAAACTAAAATTTGTAAAAACTAATGTCCTCACTTCAAATATTTTAACTATCTCATACTGTATGAAAAAAGAGGTAGGGGTGATGATTTTTGGAGTTAGTCATAAAATTAAGTGTTTTCTTCTCCGCTTAAAACAAATTCAGTGCGCTGAAGGTCAAAATGAATCTTGCCTAGTAAAGCGATTTGCTATAACGATAATCCTTATAAGGAAAGAGGAAGGAAGTGACCCCTTGCTGGGTTTTGGTCTTATCACGACTGTCATGGTATAGTAGCAATAGTACCATACTACAACCTCAATTAAGTGCCAATCAATCGGAGAGGGGAGCTATTCTCATAACCGAAAGGTCAATTGGCAGAGTGTTTAGAGCCACACGAAGTGGTTAATCTATACAAAACTGACAAGCGTTACGTTTTTCAGACTTTGTACAGATTAACCGCTTCGTTTGACTGGAAATTTTCTGCCAATTGGTCTTTTTCGGTCATGAGAATAGCATCTCCAAGCTTCAATACTAAATTCAGACTGTCTCATTGGCAGATTTAGGGTTAATGAGAAAGGATATCTGATTCGAGCCGGGATCGGCTTTCACAACTTTATATCAATCGCTCATTCTTCCTTCTGCCACGAGGCATCTCCCAGTTTAATGGCAGAAACACGCCTCCCTTTTTAGGCCATCCAGACAAGATGGGGGCTTCCTGGAAGATAAGAAAAGATTTCTTGACAAAAACAGTTGGAAAAAGGGTCTCAGCAGGCGGAACTGAAGCTCACACCACTTTCTGACTTCCTTCCTCAATTTTAATTGTACTTGCCATAAATGGCAGACAGACTAGCCATAAATGGTGCAAATTCTTCCTGCCATAAAAGGAAAAACTGTGGCTATAAAAGCAGACCTACTAACCACTGAAGGTCAAAATGAAAAGGAATCCATGAAATGGAATGGTCAAAATGAAAAAGTCCATAAAAACGAATCCATTCGAAATTTTTTGCATCTGAACGAGAGGAATTATGACACCTGAGTTCAAGAAAAATTGGCAAACTGAGTATTTTCTCCATGGGCTAACTTCGCTGAAAAGAGGGCCCTAAAATGGCATGTAGATAAAAAAGAATAAAAGACGAGAAAAATTATTTTTTTAAAATTTTTGTGCAAACTTGTCATTAATAACTGAAAAAATTCATTAATAACCGAACCTAATGAATCGTGTTGCTTCGCTTACTGCACAGAATATTCCAATCAAACAAACGCAAAAAATACTGAAATTTGTTTTAAGTTTAAGTTTAAAACTGTACACGAATTTTTTGTTAAAACGTGTTTCATTCTGCGTGAGTGATAACTAAAATCTAAACTGGATTTCTTAAAGAATTCATTCAAATTTAAATATCTGTAAAACGCGTACAAAAAATACTTCACATCGGGCACAGGCATCATGCTATACTTCACATGGTTACGTACAGCAATATCGTAATTTTCAATTCAGCCGAAATGCCGAAAGTGGCGAAAGTATAACAGTTTGTGCCGAAAACAGAGTTTCCCAAAATTTGGAATATAACACAAAGGGGATAGACTTTTTCAGTTTTTATGTGAAAAGTCTAGTTAAATACTGATTCAGTCAATTTATCAGTTATGTAAAAAGGACTGCTTGAACATCAGGTAGAGAAAATTTTCCTCCTGTCCTTATGAACTATGAATATCAAATCAGCGTTTTGATGTTTAAACTGAGCTAAATTAAGCAGCAATTTTCAATTTCCGCGGTTACGCGGCAACAAGTAGACATGCCGTTAAGTAGACACGGCATAAAACCAATCAGAATAGAGAAAAAATACTTCTTACTTTTCTTTTCTTATCTCGATTGTGATTGGCTTACGACTTGTCTATTGTATGACACTCGATTGTGATTGGCTTACGATTTGTCTATTTTATGACATGTCAATTTTTCACCGTACTCCATCATTTGAGTGCTTTATTTTTGTTTGATATAGCAAACAACACATCAGAATGTGGACCAATTGAATTGCGTTGTTCAAATTTCGATTGATTTCTGAGCCGTACCACTTGACCGCAAGAGCTTTATTGAAAAACTGTTGCAAAAACTCTTCATAGCTACTACAGTGTTGATTTAGCCCGTACATAACTTCCATATCAAATTCATCCATGTGCATCTTGATTTTATTTCTTTACATGAAACAGACATGAACAGACATGTCCTAACGATGCTCAGCCATGAAAATTAATTACCCATTTAACAAACTTGAGCTGCGCATGACTTTACACTGAACGAGTCATTAATCGAACAATAAATTATGCGGACACAACGAAAACTTGAAACTTCAAACGCGTTTTTTTTTCAAATTTGGTTAAAATTGCACTGCAAACAGAGACAAGACTGATCGTATCAAAGCGAAGCCCTGAATGTTCCTGCCTTTTAAGGTTTATGGAGCACTAGTAACATTAAAAAAAAGTAATAAAATAAAATGAAAAAAAAAGTTCTAAAATTTGAAATTTTTTTAATGAATATAAAGAAAGTACAAAAGAATAGATTTCGCTCTTTATAACAAATCGATTATGGCAAACAAGCTTCTTTCAACCAATTTGGAACGATTTCTAAGACGGATTAACTCTCCGCTTACGCGTTAATAGCGCGAAACATATCGCGAGTTAATTGACCCAAATTGGCCAAAACCCCCATAACTTTACGAAAAATAATCACAGGTGAAATATCTTTTCAAATTTAAGCTCAGGACGACAATACCTTTTGAATGATATTTAAAAAATTCCGTCAAAAGTGGCTAGTTAAAAAGTCGAAATTTGTCTGAAGTAAAAAAAAAACCACCTCGAGCACAAATATTCCGTTACTTTCGTATCGAAAGTCGGTACAATAAGAAAAAATAGAAATAAGCCACGTCCTGCCCTGTCGGCAACGAACGCTTAACAATCTGCAAAGACTAACGCAAACAAAACTGCTGGTATCAGGGCGAAGCCCTGAATGTTCCGACTGCCTTTTAAGGTTTATGGAGCAGAACTTTTCGTAAAACGTTTGAAGTTTGTTTTTAACCATAGATTATATTTTTTGTACAGTAAAAATGTCTTTATTAGCTATCAATTAAAAATATTTTCTCTTATTCAGCTTTTTGGAAGTTTTACCCTTCTAAAAATTTGTTGGGCTGTATAAGAGGTTTTTTTATATAAGTTTCTGATCAAAATGCCAAAATGACGCAATTTGGGGATAAAATTTTGATTGAGAACTTGAGATTGAAGTAAAAATTGAATCTTATCAACTCTGGTGAAATTTTAAGCAAATTTTTTTTCTTCTGTTATTGTCTAACCTCAACAAAATTTGAGAAAAACGCGTTTGAAAATTCAAATTTTGGTCGTTTTTTCCGGATAATTTAAATCAGCATTATATTGCACATAAATTACCTATCAAAATTGATAAATTGTTGACTCTAAAGCAATCATGTCTTTTGAAACAAAAGCTCCAGGTGAAAAAATCCCAACTTGAAATCGAAACGCCAAACTTTTGCAAAAAAAACTTTGTTTAGAGTCCTAAGTTGATTAAATAAAAACAAGACTGCTCGTATCAGGGCGAAGCCCTGAATTTTCCGACTGCCTTTTAAGGTCTATGGAGCAGTAATAACATTTAAAAATTCAATGGACTAAAACAAAATGAACAAAAAATTTTTCTAAAATTTGAAATTTTTTCTAAAAATCAACCCCCCACACGCCATATAAAGTACAAAACGATAGATTTTGCTCCTTGTAACAAACCAGTTATGGCAAGCAAGCTTCTTTTAACCAATTTGGAACGATTTCTAAAACGGATTAACTCTCCGCTTACGCGTTAAAAGCGCGAAATATATCGCGCGTTAATTGTCCCAAATTGGTCAAAATGGCCAAAATGGCAATCTTTAAACCCTCATAACTTTACGAAAAATGATCACAGGTGAAATATCTTTTCAAATTTAAGCTCAGGACAAGAATGGCTTTCGAATGATATAAAAAATTCCGTCAAAAATGGCTAGTTAAAAAGTCGAAATTTGTCTGAAGAAAAAAAAACCCACCCCGAGCACAAATATTCCGTTACTTTCGTATCGAAAGTCGGAACAATAATACAAGAGCGAACATTCCATGTTGCGAGACAAAAAACAATACAACAAATTAGGAATTTATTCCACTTGCGTAATGTAGATTCTGAAGCAAGATATTAATGAATAAAGGATAGCCGGTTACTGTGCAAGTAGCTCAGAAAGTTTTAGTTTTATAAGCTGAGTTTTAGTTAATAAGCTGTATAGTTGTAAGAAAGAAGGTTGAAACAAAGTTTTGAAATCGGAACTGGGTTGAAACGACGAAGAAAATAAAGATAATCGGCTGCAGTTTTCTTTGAAAGTAAAAAATGAAGAAAAAAAATTTTTATTTTTTTTCGCTTTCAATTTTTGTTCCGGTCATTGAAATTGGGTAGGAACTTGGTTTTTGCAAGTTTTACTTGTTTTTGTTTCTATTTTCTACGCAAAATCAAGTACCACAAATAATCATCGGAATGGGTCGAGTGATAAACCATATTAAATCCTATTTTCATTCGTAAATCGAACGAAACTAAAAAAAATTATAAAAACTCTTCTGGTTCTAGAAAAACCGTTTGAGATTTTTGGAGTTTAATTCTAATTTTGAGCGAATCAAAGCGAGCTCAAAAATTTCAGAAAAAAAATAATTTTTTAAATTGATTTCTTTGTTTTTCTTGTCATTTTCTACAAAAACTGTTTCCTCCAATTTGCCTCTTTTACTATGACTCTAATATGCCTACATTTTAGTTTCTTGTTCAGACCATTTATCACACCACGCAGAAAAAAAACAAGACTGATCTGAAAAAAATTTTGTCTGTTTTTTCTTAAGACTGGTCGGATTTTTCCGTGCACAGTAACCGGCTATCCTTGTTTTTAAATATTAACTGGTGAGAAAGCGCTAAGTTAAGCTCCAAAAATGTTTAATCCTGGAATAAAACAAGGTATTTTGTGATTATTTTATCACTTGTAGCTCGCGTTACTCGCTTGAAATATCAGTAGAAAGCAAAAAACTTAAACCGGTTTTTATCAACACCTAGAAAACTTTTTAGACATTTTTTATGTCGTTCGAATTACAATTAAAATGGCTTTTATTCGATATATCACTCGTTCCATTCCGATTTCTTTACTCATGTATCATTTGACCTATACTGATTTGAAATAATAAAATTTTGAATTATTAAAACTCAAATGAAATATTCATTGTTCCAGTTTTTTTTTCATTTTTATCCCATTTCATTGAAGATGCACCTACAGAATTAGAAGTAAACTATCTTAGTTACTCTATCAACCAAAATTTGGCTGAAAAAAAAACAGCCACATTGGATACTTGATAGAATTTACAAACAAAATTACATCAATTCCTTAAAATAGCGAAATTTATGTTTGCGATGGTACAGGTGTCATAGAATAAGGCTGCAAATGAAGGCCACCATTGGAGGTGAGAGTTGATTGATAGAGATATCTTTGATTAATGGTAAGGTTTAATATGACTAACATCAATTCTCTAAGAGGCAGAGAACCTATATAACCTCCTTTCAGATTCAGGTGAGAACCAATGCTAGGATAGATTATTTCAAAAAAATCGAACTACCAGAATAAATTAAACAGAGCTAAATAGTTATTTTAGGAATTTCGCGCATGTAAAAAAATGCTTTAAGGATTTTGTGGCAGAATTCACGTGAGAATTAAAAGAGGTCCGATATCTATACAAAATCTGTTCAAAAATTGCAGATGGCTTTTTAAAATTAATTCAGCAAGCTCGAAATTCGAGCAACTTATTACAGGTCACTAACCGTCCATGTCGATTGATCTGAGAAGCACCGAAGCCTTGACCCTATCTGACCTCTGCAGCCTCAATAGATTGAACCCGGAACGTCTGGGCAACACCACTTGCGGTACCCGCTGCATGTATCCCCAAGCCGGGGACAGGGAATCGAAGAAGAACTCGCTCGAACTTTTGACCTCTCTTATAGGCCACGTGATCGCTCTTCCCCATTCTGCAGCACTTTTTTTGTCCACTTTCCCTCCTCCTCCGCCCTTCCCAACATGTGAAGACCAGGTGTTCGGATCGTCGCCAACCATCTCCTCTGGACCCTTGGGATTAAACAAGGAGTAGACCGGAGGCTCCTGGGGGTATGTGGGATACTTCGGACCGATCTGATCTTGATTTCCTCTTATAGGATGGGGTGCTATAACGGCATGGCTTCCAGAGTTTTTTGAGCTGCTGGTCATGAAGTCTCCGGACAAAGGTCGATAGTGAACCGGTGGTGTTTCTTGCGACCCTATTCTGTAGTTTGCTTTGATGTTTGTTTTTGTCCTCGAAGAAGCAACTCTCGAATCGCATGCAGTTGCGAGCAAGGAGATAGCCAAAAGAGTTATTCCGCAGCAATATCTCAAAGATAATAAGGGTTCCGGTCTAAGGGTCCTGACTTCACGGGCTGTAATTTTGGTAGTCGGATTGTCACTTCGGAGATGACGTTGGAGTCCTTGGAAGATGTTAGGGTGACACTTAAGACGATGACGGGTCCTAGGAGGAAAGGACGAGGCGGATGACTGGGTAGTTCTCGGCTGCTGGAAACTTTCACTTCGTCCAAATCGATATCTCATCCAGGCGCGGATTCCATAAGTCGGAAGGGCCAAGACACTTTTGCGCCACTAGGTTGTCAAGTGTTTTGAAATTACTGTTTCGCCGACAATGCCAATTTTTCTCTAGTCTTTAGTGGTTCCAATTTTAGCTAAAGTTGAGCAGAAGTTAAATGAAATGAGAAACCAGAATAATGCAAACTTTCTGACTTGAAATTTAAGAAGTATCGCAAGTGTTTTCCCAATTCAAAAAGTCAATTACTTGATGACGCTTATGATTCCGTTATTTAATTTTCGGCCAATGAAAAATAAGATAGAGTTGGCTTCTTAAAAGAAGGGTAAGATAATTCCCTATGGACTCCTTTGGGCGAGGAGTGTTAGATTAGGATTCCCTTGAAAATTGACGAGTGAAAAATTGATGAGCAATGATTTATCACTATATGAATCATCATCTTCATGCAAATTCCCAGCTTGGTGCGATTTTATTTGTGTGAAAAAGGTACTAACCGTTGATTTGTGCACAGTGTATGGTCAATTAAACCATTACATTTTATTGCTTTAGACTCAAATTTACTCCACTCGAGATTGTTTTGCTGTGTGGTGGTTTAACTTTTGTCACATTAAAAGAATATCTGAAAGTTTATGCATGTATCATGCAGCTCAAACTCAAGTAGCCACGCCAAAACAGCTAATCATTATGAGATCAGATATGATTTGTGAAAGCATTATTTTCATTTTTACTTTCATACCAACAATAACAAAATAAAAGAAAATTTAAAAAGAAAACAAAAGCAGCTGCTTCATCTGAACTCTCAATTACGGCGTTGTTTTTATTCTCTGTTTAATCTTTAATCGAGCTGCATTGCTCCGTCCAAACGCTCAAATTTTAAGCACCAATTTTTAAATTCTTTAAATTCTCTTACGAAATGACCTGTGCTGATTGTTAGTTAGTTGATTAGAAAAAATCTACCATCGTTCATCGATATACGCATATTGTTATAGGCACAATGATGAAATCAGAAGTCACTTGTGATAACGACCTCTAAATTTAAATCATGGCTCTTGAGAAATTTTTTTCCTGTAAAACATTGAATTTTGATTCTCCGATTTTCAGTTTATCTTGAGACTGTTGAAAAAAGTCACTGATGTTCAACGTCCAGGTACTTATTTCTCGTCGGCGTCTTATAAACTTTCATTCATAAAATAAGATGATTCTATCAATTTGAATTTATCCACACGTTGGAAAAGCACTGAAATACGAGCTGCTCTGCTGGTAATTTTAAATAGCTGATGTACCCTGTTATCCATACGGATACAGTAGGTACCGATATGAACTGATATCCATTCGGATATACTAGAACTATGTCTACCTAAGACAGTATGTCCATCCTGAGTGCTAACCATATATACTTATGTAAACTGAACTGTAAACTGAAGTCTGATATAAATTAAGTACCTATTAAACCTAACACCATATTCAATAGTTATTTATGAGTCTCTGTCTCTCTCATGATTTCGAGGTCAGATTCGAATCAGACTTAACTTTCTAAACTGAATTTAAGTTGTTCTCGATCTCTTCGTATTCTTATTCTCAGTTAGCGATTAAGCATAGACTTTGACTACATAGATTACACAGTGTATACCTCACCCAACGGTTGAGGGTATAACATGGCGCAGCCAGCACTTACAACAAAAAACCCACTCGGTATTGCCCCATTCTGGCAAAAAGCCTCGGCGGAACCGCCAACAGAGTGGGAGAAGTGGAACCAGCAACTCTACTTAGGAATTGTCGCAAAAGATGGCATAAACCTGCAAAAGTTATTACGAGATCCACCTGCAGTGAGAAAACCGCAAGAACCCGGCTATGAACTACCTATAGAAGGGGAAACACAAGCACAAACCAGGGACAGGAACATTCGTAACCAAGAAAAAAAGATACAATGGGACAACCAATGTGCCCAACTGGACAACTTGGGACCCACCGTGGATGGAATACCATGGGAGGAAGCCGACATAAAAGTCAGAAGCTACATTTACCTGAGTCTTGGTAAAGAAGGTCAAAGACGCCTAAACCAACACTATCCAGACATAAAGATACAAGAAATATCAACGAGAGCATTCTGGAATCGATTGGAACACCTTTTCATTAAAGACCGTAATGTTACATTTGATAGATACGAGGCATTCACAAGAAAGCAGAATAAAACAGAAACGCTGGAACAGTTCCACTGCGGGCTCACTGAATTGGTCATAAAAGGAAACTTCAAATGTCCCAATTGCAACAATAACACATTAGAGACAGAGATTATTCGAGACTTATTCACAGCAAATATGACAAATGATGAAGTACAAAAAGATCTACTAGCCGAGACCAAATCCCCAGAGCAAGCGTTTGAATACGCAATACGCAGAGAAAAAGGGTTGGAAAATCAAATTCAAATCCGCAAGCAGGGTTCAACGACTAATCCTTTTCAACAAACGGGTATAAAAACAGAACCAGTTGGGTTCATTCAAAGAAGAGGAGGGGACCCGTACCGTAATAACAGAAGAGGAAACAATAGCGGTCGAGGACAAACACAGGGGGGAAGCTCGCAACGACAAAACAGAGACAGAAAACAATCTTGCTTTAAGTGCGGTAATCCGTTCGGACCCGGTCACCTCCAACAATGTCCAGCAAAAGACAAGATTTGCAATAGGTGCACAAAAAGAGGACACTACGCACGACTCTGTAACTCCTCCAATGTTAATGCTATCAGCGAAGAAGCAAATCCCGAAGTGAACGTCCAGGACACCGACATAGCAGCGTATGTCGACTATCTCCAGGCAGGGGATGTCGTCCCGGGATGGGAATTCATACATCCAGATGACAACAGCGTAAATGCGGTACATTACGAAGAAGAAACGGCAGGAAGCTTAACAATAAACGACTTAATAGGACACCTTATTCGAGTTAAAATTGGGACGAACAGCATTACCTTCATTGCAGACACAGGATCCCCAACATCGTTTGTAAATAACAAAACAGCGGTCATATTAGAAAATACGGTGCCACGAACTCGACGTATTCAGCTCAACCAAAATGACGAGGCAAATAGAATGGTCTGCTACAATGGTTATAAAATCCCTGCGTTCGGCAGGCTGATTGCCCCTATAGAATCAGGAGGGTGGACAATTAACACAGCGCCATTCGTGGTGGTTGACGATAAACGGGCAAACATCCTGGGTCGCAATTTGCTCCCACAACTAGGCATTCACCTTCAACAGGAAAAACCAACTGGTAAGTCAATCAATTACATTACAGATCCAGAACAATCAGACACGGCCATCACAAACTGGGTTAAAACAGCATACCCGGGGTTATGCACCCGTATCGGTCGATCAAAAAACCATGAAGTTCATACAAAATTTTTACATGACTTCAAGGCACTGCAACAGAAAGGCCGCCGAATCCCGATTCATATTCAGGAAAAAGTTGAACAAGAACTTAAATCTTTAATTGACCAAGGCCATATCGTGAAGCTCGACAGTTGTAGCGATAAACAATTTATTAGTCCAATCGTTATCACGGTAAAGAAAGATCAGTCAATCAAGTTAGCAATGGACTCAAAACAAATCAACAAAGCGATACATAAAAACAAGTACCAGATGCCTAACATCGACGTTCTGCTCGATAATGTGGCACAATCAGCTCAAGAGGGTAATGGCAAACCAGGCACAACATATTTTTCTACCATTGATCTCCGATATGCCTATAGCCAATTGAAATTAGATGAAAAAACTAAAACGCAGTGTAACTTTAGTATAATTGGTGGACAAGCGACGGGAACCTATCAGTTCCAAACAGGATTTTACGGGCTCACGGACATGCCCGCAGAATTCCAGAAAGCCATTGACCTAACGTTAAACAACGAAAAAGATACTTTCGCGTTTCTAGATGATATATTAATTATATCTCACGGAACAAAAGAACAACACATGGACAAGCTGAAGAAAGTATTAGATAAACTGGATCACGAAAATATGGCGATTTCTTTAAACAAATGCAAATTCGGCTGTAAAGAGGTCGAATGGCTGGGATTCATAATAAATGAATACGGGACAATACCAATGCACAAGAAAACCGAAGCGATCACTAATCTACAACACCCTAAAACCTTCAAACAACTCAAAAGTTTTATGGGTTCGATTCATCATCTAAATAAATTTATACCCAACCTGGCACAATTGTGCACACCATTGAGGCCGCTCTTATCATCTTCTTCAAAATTTCATTATATTTGGAACCAAGAACATGAAAAGGCATTTCAGACGATTCTGACAGCGGTGCGAAACATCACAGAAAATCGTCACTTTGTGAGTAACCGAGAAACACGGATAGTCTGTGACGCCAGCCGCGAGGGTATAGGAGCTGCTCTAGAACAGGAAACTCCAGACGGATGGGGTACGGTGGCGTACGCGTCCAGATTCCTAAATGCATGTGAAAATAAATATTCGGTAAATGAATTGGAACTCCTAGCTGCGGTATGGGCTATTGATTATTTTAAATATTATCTGTATGGCCGCCGCTTTACACTAATTACTGATCATCAAGCTTTGGTTAGTGCCCTAAATAGCAATAAAAGTAATAAAACTTATCAAAGTCGCCTAACCAGATGGATTGACCGTCTTATTCCATTCGATTTTGACATCAAACACCTTTCCGGCAGTAAAATGGGCTTAATAGACTACATTTCGCGCCATCCGGTAGGAAAACCACAACCTCCCGCATATTGGGATGAACATTTTGTTGTCACACTCATTGACGATTTCATTTCTTGCCTGGAATTTCAAGACAGCACTATAGCTAATATCGAAATGATTGAAAATCCATGCGGATTTCAACGCACATTACAGCTCGACCGGAACGAAAACTTTAATCGTTCACTTTCGCACACAAAAGAAACACATTTCACTGTTAATGATCATTCTCTCACAAACAGTCACTCTCCGTCACATTCAAAATCTTCAACTTTCTCTCAGTCAGATCAAAACATTTTAAACTATAGTCCGAAAAATTCAAACATTTGCCACCAGCCTTCAATAAATCAATTACGTAAAGAAGAAACAGCAATTCGTCATCGACAACAACAAGTGTGTTTTAATTCAACATCTACTAACCCAGCCGCCGACAACATGAGCCGCCAATTACAGACAGGAATGTCATTACCCCCTTTCAAAAGAATCATGAGGAAATGCCACAGCGGCCAACAGACAACCTTATCGATTCCACCCACTAAACTTACGTCATTCGCTGAAATGCCCGAAGAGCCAGGCCAATCCACACTGTCCTTTAGCGATGTTAGACATCAAGTAATTCCCTCACAAGATAGCTTCACATTTGTCAGGAAATCAGATCAGCTATGCCAAACAGACCCAACAGAGGAACAAACGGAGTGTCAGGCCATCTCAATGGAGGACGAAGATGTGCCACTCTTCCGAAAGAATCTCAGAAAGGCACTGGACGTGGACTTCATTGCGGCCGCCACAAAGCGCGACAGAAACCTCCAGCCTCTGATCAACATGATCAAAAACCAAAAGTGGGAACAAATAAAAGCCTGTTACGGCCCTTATTTTTATAACGTGCGCGACCGTTTGTCAGTCCGAGACAATGTGCTACTCTATGACGACAGAGTAGTAATCCCGAAACAACTTAGACAGATTATATTGGACTCAATTCACTTAACCCACCCAGGACAAGGCAGTATACTAGAAGCTGCCAAACATATTTGGTACCCATACCTTCATCGGGACATAGTGACGGCA